AATTGTGACTGTGTGGATTGAGGGAAATGATGGAACTCACCTATATTGTGGAAAACCATGAAAGGAAGGGGGCGGGTCGAGAAAAAGTCGATTGTGGTCCTGGTGGATAGTAGGGTCACACATAACTTTATGTCAATTAGGTCAGGGATTAGTTAGAGTTGGAGCTGGTGACTACAGGGAGCTTCAGCGTCATGATGAGAACAAAAAAGGTGAAGAAAAGTCGGGAAATTTGCAAGGGATTGTTATGACACTACATGCCTTACAGGTGATGGAAGACTTCCTTCAATTGGACGTGGGCAACATAAATGTGATTCTGGGGATGAAGTGGCTACAGAAGCTTGGGAAAATGAAGGTGAATTGAAAATTCCTAATGATGGAGTTTCAAGTAGAGAGTAGGAAGGTGATGCTGAGAGAAGATGCTAGCTTATGCAAAACTATAGTCTCACTCAAAACCATGGTCGAGTCAATACTAGGAGAAGGGATGAGTTACTTGGTGGAGTTATAGAACATTGAGGAGGTCCGAGATCCCGAGTTGACAAAGTTCCCCGAAGGGGTCCGAGAGCTTCTACAATAGTTTATGAACATCTTTCAGCAGCTAAGCAGGGTATCACGCCCAAGGGAGCATAAGCACGTCATTACATTAAAGGAGGGTATCTCCCCTATCAGTGTGAGACCATACCGAGCAGGATGAGATAAAGAATTTGATCTGAGAGATGTTCGATGTTGAGATTATCAGACCCAGTGTGAGCGTCTTCTTCAGTCCAGTCCTGTTGATGAAAAAAAATATGGTAGTTAAAGGTACTGTGCGGACCACCAAGCTTTGAACAAAGAGAAAGTGTTGGATAAGTTTATCATTCCTATAATTGATGAGCTGTTAGATGAGATTTATGGGGCAGTTATCTTCTCAAAAATCGACATGAAATCAGAATCCCACCAAATCAGGATGAGTCCAGTGGATGCATACAAGACAACATTCAGGATATTACGAGTTCTTGGTAATGTTGTTTGGCTTCACCAATGCCCCGATTACATTTCAGCGCCTCATGAATAGAGTTTTTCAGCCTTATCTTAGGAAATTCGTCATGGTCTTCTTCAAAGACATTCTGATCTACAGTCGTACAAAGACAAAGTATGTGGGGCACCTGAGGACAATTTTGGAGAAATTGAGAGTGTACCGATTGCACACAAATTTGAACAAAATGTTCCTTTGCAAAGCTACAACACTTGGAGTAACATGGGCATGAGGTGACTAGGACAGAAGTAGCAGCAGACCCACATCAAATTGAGGCTATGATGGATTAGCCTTTACCCAGGGGCTTGAAGGAGTTGAAGGGATTCCTAGATCTCACTGAATACTATCGAAAATTTGTGAGGGGTACAACACGATAGCATGGCTACTGATGAAGTAACTGAAGAAATACAATTTCAAGTGGGATGAAGCCGCAACACATACCTTCAAACATCTGAAGAGGGGTCATGACTAGTGTATTAGTATTAGCACTTCCAGTTTTCAGTAGAACATTTGTGGTAAAAACATATGCATCAGGGTACGAATTGGGAGCAGTACTCACGCAGAACTAGTGATCACGACTAAGGTGAGGATCAGGTTAGTATATGAGCAAGAGTTGATGATTATCGTCTTGGCCATTCAAAAGTGACAACCTTACCTTTTGGAACAATGGTTTCTTGTCAGAACAGATCAAAGGAACTTGAAGTACCTATTATAGCAGATGATGGTGGCCGAGGAGCATCGGAGGTAGTCATCCAAGTTGTTAGGATATGATTTCGAGATTCGATACTGGCCAGGAGGGAGAATAAAGTCGCAGATGCCCTGTTGAGTAAGGGGCAGGGCGCCTCAGCTGGCAGCCTTATCGGTAGCATTGGTCCTCGATTGGGAACCAATGAGAAGGGAGAGCAAGCAAGAAGAAAAGCTAAGAAAAATGTGGGCATAGTTGGTAAATGATCCAAACAGTCATCCATAATATGAATTGAGGAGATAACAACTACTCTACCAAGAGCGATTCGTGCTATCGAGAACATTGAAGCACATTTCTAAATTATTACAAGAGTTTCACGGTAGTGCAATTGTGGGACATTCCTGGGCACAGAAACCCTACGGTCGTCTATCGATATAGCTTTATTGGATGGGAATGCGCAGACGTAAAAGACATGGTGGTGCAATGCGATGTGTGTTAGTACACAAATACCTAACCATGGTGTCAGGAGGGTTGCTATAACCCCTAATCATAACGGAGAAGGTTTGGGAAGAAGTGACCATAATTTCATTGAGGGGTTGTCCCAATCAGATGGGTTTATGGTGATTCTAGTGGTCGTGGTGACAATGTTCATGCGGGAAGTGGTTCGCTTGCACGAAGTACCAGAATCAATTATATTAGATAGGGACAAGTTGTTGCTCAGCAAATTCTGTAAAGAGTTGTTCAGGTTACAGGAAAAGGTCCTTAAGAGCACCGCATATCATATCACCCCAGAGTGATGGCCACACGGAGATGGTCAACAGAAGTGTGGAGACATATCTCCAATGATTTGTATCAGACATGCAAAAACTGTAGGCCAGATGGATTGCGTGGGAAGAATATTGGTACCATACCACACCATGGCATATACCATCCATTTGAAGATTCCGTATGGGCAGGATCCACCTCACCTGATACACTATGGGAATAGCGCCACACCGGAATCCAGAGTTGACCAGTACTTGGAGGAGAGGGACAGAGTATTGGCAGAGTTTACGAGGCATCTACAGAAAGCCGAACAGATCATGAAGAGGAAGGCTGATAGGCATAGGAGTGAAATACAATTCAAGCCCAGGACATAATATACTTAAAGCTAGGGCTCTATCGGCAGAACACAGTGGTGAGGAGAAACGAGAAACTTTCTCAGTAATATTTTGGATCCTACGAGATTACAACATGCATTGGGACTATGGCCTACTGTTTGAGGCTACCACCATCATTGAAAATACATCTCGTGTTTCATATTTCTCAGTTGAGGCATGCTATCGAAGATCATACACCATCGTTTTCACTACCTTCGATGCTAATAGAGGACATGAAAGTGATTTTGAAACATTTATAAGTCGAAGGAGTGCACCGATGTGTGGTGGGAGCAAAGGAAGTATTGATTAGGGGAAAAATCTATATGACTATGAGGCTATGTGGGAGCCTTATAAAGGTATCCAAAAGCAGTTTCCATCCTTCCAGCATGAGCACAAGGTCTTTCTTTGGGAGGGGAGTGTTGTTGACACACACAAGCCCTCCCCTTAAAAGGAACTGGTCCAGGGGGACCGGCCGGCCCAAGCAAAACAAGTTGACAGTCGGTTTAAGCCAAAACACTAAGGGTGATCCCAGCGCCCAGGTGGGACCCATGAATCCGCTGCTCACGTATAAAAGGAAGAGAACTAAGGGGAATTTGTGAGGAAATAGTTTGGAAAGAATCTAGGAGAGTATTTAGGAGAAAAAAGGGGCTTGTTTTCATGTTATGTATGGTAACTGAAATTTTCTTCTTTCTCTTGTGGTATTCCTAGCAACGTCTAGGGTTTGTGGAGAGAAAAACTACCTCTCGGATAGTAGATTAGAAGTATTATGTTTGTTTTCTTTGTTTTACGTAATAGCACCTCCCGTTTGAGTTTTCTACCTACTTATCGCTATTTTTTAATCTAGACTGTATCAGAGTCATTTCAAGCCTAAAATAAATCCATGGTCTATAAGCGGCAAATAGAGAAATCACTTTATCAAATATTTTTTTCAAGAAAAACAATGTAAAATAACTCTCAACATCCATTTTGAATGAGAACAATAAAAATTCATTTTCAATTAAATTAGTTACCTTATCCTTCCCAAAATGACCAATTATATATATATATATATATACTTATCCTCCCCACAAAGACCAATTATATATATATATATATATATATATATATATATATATAACAAGACCACTCATAGAGATCTACTGCAGCTATCTCCGCTCTACCACCATAAACAGTAGCTTCTACCATGGTTAGCCAACTCAACCAATAATTATCAATATAACTATTATATAGCTAAAAGTCCTAGTATCATCACGATAATCTCTCAACTATCATGATTCATCCCAAGTTGCATAAATTGTTCCTCGCTGAGACCACCAATAGAAGATTTATATTAACTCGAGTAACTTTCCTAAAGAATCTTTGGATCTATTCTCAACTTTTATTAGTTAAGATCCCATTCACCTTGCAACATATTTACATGGCATATTGGTTAGACCTTTTCATCGTACACCATAAAAAAATTGCCAACAACATTGGCTCAATGCAAGAAGCGGACGATTGCGAAGGAAAAAGAAAAATAGCTACCTTATAGCGTGCCCTCTTGATAAGAAAATGATATTCTCTTTGTAAACACTAAATATGAACATCTGAAAATAACTATTCTAATTGTAATTTAATTACCTCATCCATCACTATCTTCCTCCCCTTTCTTTCCTGAAATTGCACCAAACTCCTTTGGTGACATGAGCGCGGCAAGCATGCAAAGAATCATGCACAAGCTCACCGGCCCAAAGAGATCATATTTATCCAACCCCATCATGGAAAATTTCTGGGATTTCAATCCCAATATCCTGTTGGGATCTTGGAAGGTCCCATTTGCAAGATTGCATATCATCCTTCCCAGTGGCTGCTGAACTTGCAAGGGTTCCCTAGCAAGCTCACCTGAGCATTTAATGGCACCTGGGACGAACGGTGTGATGGCAAAGTAGACAAGAAGGGAGAAGATACTTAATGAGTTTGGTAAATTAAAACGAGTGAGCTTTCAAATTATACTTGAAACTTAATCCTTTTCATCGTGGGAGACAACAAAAGAAAAGACTTGACAAATTCTAGTTTGAAATGACCAAACAAAATCAGCTGACAATTGTGAACTTGGCTTAAATTTTTTGGTGTAATCCTCGTTCTTTTAGGCATCTTTGGAGTAGATGAAATTTTTTTTACTTACAGTTCGAAAGGGACTCTTAGAGTGAGACTGCCACCGAGCTTTCAAGATTGAGGCGGTGTCTCCAGTTACTCTCACTGTTCTTTTCTTCAGAAGAAACTGTTCTCTTATGCCCACGATATTCTCTTTACAACCCTACAAAAGAAATAGATGAGATGAGCACTATATGACGAAATTGATGCTTTAAAACCCAAAATGTCAAACTTCATGGACAGAAATACCTTCTTCAGCTTCTGTTTCGGCTCCTGTTTCAGCTCCAATCTAGCACGCTCCACTGCTGTCCTCTCACTATCAGTTGGAACAAGACAACAAAATCTCAAGCAGTCTGGTTTCTTCAAAACCCCACTGGGTGGCCTTTTGTCTTCACAGATAGCCGCGGTTGCAACTGGGTCTTCACCCGCAGAATCAACACCAACCGCGCTCTCCTTTGCAGGGGAAACTGGCAGCACCGAGTGGTTCTGGTGCGGGAAGTTCGTCACGGCCTTTTCTCCATGAAGCCTAACAGCGGCGGAGTCGTAAGCCGTGGCAGCCTCCTCCGCCGAGTTAAAAGTTCCAAGCCAAACCCTCTTCCTCTGGTTCGGATCACGGATTTCAGCCGCCCATTTCCCCCACGGACGGTGGCGAACCCCTCTGAATCTCTTCAGAGCACAATCTTTCGGCAGCACCCATGACGCCTTCGGTGGCTCTTTCGCCGGAATCCTGCCATTGACAGTAGCCGATTTAAATTCTATCTCGCGCACATGCCTCCGAATATGGTCAACATCTTCGCGATCACTCGAGGACGAATCCGTCGCGTCCGCATCAGTAAATAAGATTCGGATGCTCCTAAGCTTTCCAGTCGGCAACACATCACTAGCCTTTTCGGATTTCCGGCGAGCATCATCTTCAGCTTCTTCTTCCGGACGTGCAAGAATAAGTTCGCCGGTGTGCTCCGGCGAATTTGATTCATGAACATCAAGGCGAGAACTCATCCAACCCACCCGCCAAGCTCTGAGCTTCTAGTTTAGAAACAAATTCCAGGCTCACTGAGCATCCCCCAGTCATGACAGAGATCAGAAATTAACAGTTGAATTTGAACTATATTCGAGTTGAGCAAACGATGTCATGGGCCTGATCAGGAGCTAGGGTTTTGAGAATGGTTTTTGGCGAAAAAGAATTCTGAGCAGGAGCGAGGAGCAAGAAAAAGAAAGAGTTAAAATGTTCACAGAAAGTAGACGACCGCGTAGCGATAGTGCCACGTGGTACTAAATGACTTTACGAGGCATTTACATAAATACCACCCAATTTTTATGCATTTACAGATCTAATCCATAATCCATAAACTACTTTTTTATATAATTTATATCACATGAAAAATATCATTATTTAAATAAATAAATAAATATTTCCTTAAAAAATAATATGAAATATAAGTAAAATTGGAAGTTTAGATATTAGATATGTAAATACCTAATAATTATGTAAGTTTTCCTTTATTTATTTTTAAGGGCAATTACATGCTCAACACACAATTCTTATCTATTTACATATGTAAAATCAACATTTTAATATTACATGCATGAAATTTAAATTTTTAAAATCACAAAAAATGTCACTAACATCTTTTTTTTTTTAAGTAAAATACAGATTATCATGCATAAATTTATCATACCAAATTGTTATAAATATAAATATGAAATTTTATAGGTTAGATATGTAAACTCATGAGCATATAAATGGTTTCCTTTTATTTAAATTAAAAATATATTGCTTTTTTTTAATTTTAAGGTAAAAAAAAAACAATAATAAATCTTACTTTAATTTTTAAAGCATTTTTTAGAAAGTTTACACTCAATACGTTCAAATACATATAATAGATATGTAATTTATGTATTGAATATCTCTACATACAAAAAAAAAAGAATAAAAATATATATAAAAAGATATTTAGTTAATTTTTATTTAAAATAAAAATTAATTTGTTTATTAATAGCTTTCTATTTATACTAAAGAATAATTAAATTAGAATTGAAGTTCAATTTTAATATTTTATGGCATTCTTGAGAGAGGTAATGACATCACATGCCAGTTTAATTAAAATTTCAATTAGCTACTTTTTTTATAGGAAGATCAGTTAGCTACTTCCTCTTCGCAAGTAAGTGATATACCATGACATGAGGAGGTCAGCAAATTCTGAGGAAAAAAAAGGGAACCGAGAGATATGGGGTGATGAAGTGTAAAACGTCAGGGATCTTGTGATCTCTCTCTTACATTCTCAGCTGGCTCCACCTGATCAAGAAAGCAAATGCGTCACGTGAATAATTTTTCTTGGAATATGCTATTGGGATGTAACAAAATAAAGTGGTACAAAGCTTACGTTTCTAGGGTTATTCAAAGGCTTCTCCGTCCTTTTCTTAGGTAAGTGTTCATTCTATTTGCTTCTATGTTGGGTTTATTTTGAGTGTGTTAGCTCATTCTCTTCTCAGTTTTGTTCCTTTTTTTTCTTTTCTTTCTTTCTGTTTTCAGTATTTTGGATTCTACTGGTTGTGTTTTTTTCTTGTTTGGAGTGCTCTGTCTTTTTAGGGTTTCTTTCTCTTGTTTGTTTCATTTTTGCTGGTGGTGGGTTGTTTTTGTGGTTTTGCTCTGGCTTTTCTTTAAAACCTTTAGGGTTTCTTTGATTGTCCCTTTCTTATGGAAAAATATTTTGATCTCTTTTTTTTCTTCTTTATTCTAATTTTGTTTTTGATTTTTGGGGCTTTATCCCTTCTTTCTATTATCGATTCCTTTCCAACACTTCCTCCTGTATCGGTCGTTAATGGGAAATGCTTAATCTCCTCTAATCTTTCTAATCATCTACATTTAGTTTGTCTTATGTACCTTGTGAAGATGAGAAATGTATATTCTTGGATAAAGAGGTTGAAGATAGTTCTAAGCAATGTGATCTTGCTTTAGTCATTCAAGCTTTAGTCAAAAAAATCTTTTTATAAAAATCTTCTCCAGTTAATTAGTAAAATTTGGAAATTGAAAGGTTCGGTTGAGTTATTATATTTAACTGAATGCTTTTTTTTTTTCTTTTTATGTTTACTTGTTTGGAAGATTTGGAAATTATCTAATCTTGTAGTCCATGGTTTATTGGAGGTAAACCATTTATATTTCAAAAATGGACCATCGATTTTATAATAATTTAGGAAGATTTCAAAGAAATCCCGATTTGGGTTAGATTTCCAAATCTCTCACTATTTTGTTGGCCTGAACATGAAATATCTAAAATTTCTAGCAATAATGGTATTCCTCTTGTGGCTTATGATTTGACAGCCAAAGGCTCTAGGTTGTCATTTGCTAGGGTTAATGTTCAATTAAATATTGACTTTCTTCTTCCCGAATTAGTTACTACATTTTTAAAAACAAAGAGTTTATTATACCGGTGATTTATGAATGGAAACCTATGCCTTGTAGTACTTGTTCAACTTTTCGACATAGCCATTCTAACAGTCCTAAAATTTCTATTAACGTTCTTCCTACTAATTTTTTTTCCTATTCAAAGAGGCAGGAATAATTTTGCTATTGGTAACCAGGGGAATCGTAATAAATCGGTTAATACTTCTAGGTCTTATCAAGGCCCTAGAAAATATTCAACCTATTTTAACATTTTCTATCCCTCATTCTGATCTTAATGTTCTTGTTGTGGTTCAATCTATTATTAATAAATCTACTCTTGATCCTAATACTTCGGTGGTTACTATGGTTAATAATGACACCTCTTCTTCCTTAAAAGCAAACTTAAATGTTGTGAATGTGGCTGAGCAATCTGGAGAAGTTAATAACATTGTTTTACGTGATGTGATTCCCTCTAATATTCTTTCTTCTCAAAATAATGTTCACAATGAGATTTTTGAGATTATTGAAGTTAATAATACATCTTCCCAAGGTGGTAGTATGACTGTTAACATTGTTTATAATGCTTCTTCTTCTAGTACTATATTCTTAATAATATTATAAACATGTCTCTTTCTAATGTTTTTGTTAGAAACAACAAGGGTAGATCGAAATGATTTGTTTTGTTTCTTGTCCCTTCAATTTTTATTATTATAAGGTTTCTTCCTAAATTAGCTTCTTGGAATGTTCGTGAGAATACCCGACTTATGGATTACTTGGCCTTGGGAGAGACTATTGGTAATAGTAACAATGTCATTTTACAAGTTGTGATACCTTCTAACATCATTGCTACTCAGAACAATGTTGCAAGTGTTATAACTTGTAATATGTTATAACTTTTAATGTTACAAGTGTTCATAAGTTGGTTGCTTGGAATGTGAGAGGGTTTAACAGTGAAATCCGTTTAGTTGACAAAATTATATATTATATCATGTTAATAGTATATGTCTACGCACACCACACCTATAATATATATATATGTGTGTGTGTGTGGACATATACTCTTAACATGATATTTATTTATTTCTTTTTATTATATGTTGTGAGAGGGCATATGCAGCTAACTCTTAGTATATTTAATAATAATTAGTTTCTAATTTGATTAATATTATTTACCATTGTTAATGCAGTGATTTGATTACATGCATAATTTAATTGTCAGCCCTTTATTAAATATTTTTCTTTTTTTATCTTGGTAGATGAATCAATGCAATTTAAATTTGTTGTATATGCAAATTTGGTATTGTAGCCAAATTCAAGAATTAATAAAGACGTCATTAATAAAATTTGATGATAATAATATTTTAATTAATGTGAAAAAATTAAAGAAAGATGTAATCTTGATATAGCAAGAGATAGAAAAGGCTGAGTTACATGAATTAAAATTGTTCACAAAAAATATTGACCAAGGCAAAAAAAATAAATAAATAAATAACTTTTGGTTCAATCATTTTATATATAAAAGATTAGGTTTTGTGAAAAGTATTTCATACCAAAATTGTGAAGGAAATTAGAAGGTTTGCATAAGCCATTAACACTTTCTAATAGAATATACTTGAATTTAAAACCTTATGTTATAAATTATATGAGAGCAATTAAACTAATGATAACTCCAATGTGTTTAATATCTATGAAGGGTTTATTAAGGGTTTCTAAGAGCACATTCATAATTATGAAAGCTCTAAGTGAAATGAATAAAAATTTTTAGAATGAAAATCATTTGTTGAAAATCCATAACATATTGAAATTTTTATAATGAGATTTTTAATTGATTTTCTATATTTCTAATATTATCAGACAAAAAACTGACATCTCTGTAAAACAAGGGTTTAAATTTATCTTTCTTTTTATATTATTAGATAAACAATTAGCTATAAATTACAACTATATAACTTTAAAGAAAAATGAATAAAATGTATATTGACAAATTTAATTATTGCTTTATAATTTTGATTTTAATAATTTTTTTGGGGGGGTTGAAATTATGTTTTATTGCATGTTATTTAGTAATTAGAATACCATCTAGTGTGATTGAATTTAAAAATTCTTTAGGATTTATGAATTGGAAAACAACCGAATTTAAAATACCTTGGAGTTTTTTTTGTTGTGCTTCACATTTCACTAAAATAAAGAAAATTAGAACGTAGATAAAACAAATTGTATTTTTATCAAAGTTATTTGAAGAGTGTTAAGAAGTATAGCCTCACATGTTGCGGGGGTTGAATTCACTTCTTGTTACAATAATGATCTGTCTTGTTATTGCTTTTAGAAAAGATGTTTTATATATTTTTGACATCAATAGCATGGATAAAAGTGTTGCTTTAACTAAAAATAATAGGAAGACAAGTTTATTTGATGAATGCTATTATAAGTTTGAGGTTGAGCCCCTGCCAGCACAGATTAGAGTATTGATGAGATACTATTATGTATATCCTAACAACTAAAGCAATATCTAAAAAGGTCAATGATTATTAGCTTACATGGATTTATTGTATATATTTTGATAAAAGCACTTGAACATGAAGAATTTTGAGCGTTAATTTAAAAATAATTTATCTTCAATAATTATTTAAAATATAGCTTCATCAATACAAGAAGAATATGATTCTCTTTACAAGATATCATATAGATTGTTGTAGGCGACTGGAAAAATCATAAAACTACTACGTTAAATGGATTTACAAATTAAAAGAAGAGAACACTAACAGAAGGTTGATGAATTTAGCGTCCTTCTTTGATTGAACAACAACTTGATGTGAAAATATTTTTTCATATATTGAA